AAGGTTGGCAATATAATGCATTTATTGAAACTGCCTCCCAAGGGTGAAATGAGCAAAGAATTTCATCTGTTTCACTACAAGTTTTCATTCTTTCACGTAGTCGTGCTAGCAGGATAAAAGTTGCTTAGGAGCATTGTTCTATAAGGACACCTCAAAAGCGATTAGCTTACTCTTAGAGGGATCAGGCCATTAGGAAAAACTGCTTTGTTTGACCTGGTAGCTTATAAGAGCATTTATCAGGGACTTTTAAGATATACTCAATGTAATGTAAAAATAGTCTAGAAACTGCTATATTGAATAGAATTTAAAAACCACTTAAGTTTTAAGTAAGGCTAAGGTGGATGGAAAATTAGGAAATATATCAGTAGATAACAGGTTCTATCAGGAGCTTGACTATTGAGCAGATTCCTGTCATGTGTGCAAGGCAGTGAGCTAGGTGTGGTTCCGTGAGACTAAGCACTGTTTGGACCTGCAGGCACTGCAGCAAGGTTCATTCTGCCTCCAAGGACTTGCTGGGGGCTCTGGATTCTGCTAAAGGAGCTGAGAATAGTGATCTCTGCCGTTGACCCCAGCACTGGGGAGGCCGTGCGGGGGGGGGGGGAATCTTTGAAGGTTTGAGGCAAGCCTGGGTTACAGTGAGTTCAAGGCCAGCCTGAGCTATGTAGCAAGATTCTGTCTCAAAAAACAAAAACACAACAACAACACAACAACAACAACAACAACAACAACACCACCACTTAAACCCAAAAGAGATCTTAAGAGATTATTGGGTACAGTTCTTATTCTATTAACTAGGCAGCAACATAAAATGTTCAAGGACACGGTTTAGAAGATTCCACCCTAGAGCTCTTTTCCACCTCTGCTTTCATAATCTTTCCAACATGTATTGCTTTTATATTTATTTACTGGTACTGGGAATTGAACTCAGGACCTTGTGCTTGCCAGGCAGAATTGATTGCTTATGCCCAAAGCTTAAATAATTTTAGAGAACAGTTAACAGATTTTGAGAAACTGTCTAATTTTATGGCAATGTGGCAGACAACACATTTAGGTGAACTATGAGTGCCTTTCATTCTCAAGATAGCTGCACTGACAGCAGATTTTCTACAGTTATTTTTTTTCTCTTCTCTGGTGAGCAGCAGCAGGTTGAGCCATATGTCAGATCTTCAGCCTCTAGACTTGGACAGGAGCTGTGATTACAAAATTGCTAGTCTCAACTGGGTGTGGTGGTACATGGCTATGATCTAGCACTTGGGAGGCTGAGGCAGGAGGATCGCAGAGGCCAGCCTAGGATACATAATGAGTTCAAGGCCCGTTTGGAATAGTGAGATGAGACCTAGTCTCAAAAAATGTATATATTGCTAATTTTGCGGAGTCTCAATTTCCTTATTTGTAAAGTGGATGTAATAGCTAATAAAGCTGTAGCAAGGAGTAGAGAGGAATACATGTAAAATGGCTAGCACCGATTTGGCACGTGGTAGGACAGTATGTAGAGCTATTAAGGTAACTGATGAATGGAAGCCTCAAAGTGCTTGGCATGTAACATGTATGTACTAAAACATTAGCTCCTGAAATAAAGTTGGGCTACAGTATTGTGCTTTGCAGTAAGTTGATAATTCATAAGTGAACTGAAACAAATACACTGGGAGAATCTGCAGAGCTTTTGCAACTGTTCAAATATGAAATCTGTAAAAAATGCAAGTTTTTGGTGGATATGGTGAATTTATATCATTTTTTTTTTCTATGTATTTGGTTGTTACAGGGTCTTACTATGCAGCTCAGACTCGTGGTGATCCTCCTGCTTTCAGCCTCCCTGCATTGGGATTACAGGTGTGAGCCACTATGCCCAGACTCTGGCCTGGGGGTGGGGATGGTGCAGCATGTGGTGCCTGGGATCGAACCATAGTCCCTGTGGTTGCTAAAGCTTGCCTAAGCAAGTGCTTTAGTCTGCTGAGCTATCTCATCAGCCCTATATCACCATTATTGTACGATATAAAAACATCATGTCAAATGCTGATCAAGATTATAGGTCCATAAAAATGTCTACAATTAGGCTGAGGTTTGGGATAATACCATTAACTTTGGTTTAATTTTCTATGAAGGAATATGAGGTAATGAATCAACAGTTTTCATTATAAAACATAAATGTATACGTAGAATAAGCACTTGCCTGGCAAGTGCAAGGGCCTGAGTTCAATTCCCGGTTCCACAAAAAAAAAAAGGAACACAAGAGGGCCTCGGAGATAGCTCAGTGGTATAAGTGCCTGCCTGGCAAGCACAAGGTCCCAGGTTTGATACCTGATACCTCAAAAAAGAAAAAAAAAAAGATAGCTAAGATGATAGTACTAATAATTTTTATCAGTTATTTGAGGGCTGGGGATATGGCTCAGAGACAGAAGCGCCTGCCTACCAAGTGCAAGGTCCTGAGTGATCCTTGGTACGAATAAAATAAAAAGTTTGAAAAGGAGCAGAGAGAAGAGATTGCATCTGTTCCAAGAGGATGGAGGTTGAAACAAGGTTCCCACTAAATTAATCATCTATTTTATTTTTCAGCTTTAAAAATGTTGTATCTGTTTGCAGTATATGCACCTTACAACCACATGTACACGCCACTGCAGGTTTCTTTTTCCACTCCTTCCCCGCTCCTCTTCTAATCCCCCATCCTGATTTTCAATGTTATTCTTGATCTCAGCTCACAGTATGGCGTACACTGTTCACATTCCCTGCGGCTGTTGGTGCCCGAGCATGGCAGACCTTTGCTCTACTCATTTCCCCTTCCCTTCCATCCCTCACCCATGTGCCTGTGGTCCACTGCCCCACTACAAGAGATCCCGCCCCTTGTCCCTCCTGGATTATTCTTTGTACTTTGCTCACACAAATGAGAGAGCCTGTATGGTACTTAAGCTTGTATGTCTGGTTTATTTCACCCAACATTGTATCTTCCAGGTGCGTTCATCCTCCTATGTCTCAAATGTGTCATTCTTTATAGCCCAGTAGTATTCCATTATATATCAATTTTTTTTTAAATTAGGTATTTGGTTGTTACAGGGTTGTACTACACAGCTGGGACTCGTGGTGATCCTCCTGCTTTCAGAGCGCTGGGATTATGTGCACCATCACACCCAGTCTCTTGCTGGCTCATCCTGCCCTGGAGCCGGGGCTGGCGCAGCATGTGGTGCTGGGGATTGAACCCTGGTTCCTGAGCTTGCCTAAGCTTGCTTAAGCAGGTGCTTTGGTCCACTGAGCTATGTCGCTGGCCCTATTCTTTATCCAATCATCTACTGATGGCTGCTTTGAGCATTTAGGTATTAGAAACTGTGCATATATTATTATTATTATTATTATTTTATTTTTTTTAAAATTATTTATTTTTATTTATTACATTTATTGTGTGTGTGTGGCCAGCTCAGCCCACCAGGGGGCGGGGCT